ATTTTTGTGTGTGTAGATTTGTGGTTGTAGATGAGTGATAGACCGTGTCCTATTGTGCCGTGTCACTGTACCATCTTATGTCACACTCTGTTGTACGGTGTTAACCTACCATCTTATGTCACACTCTGTTGTACGGTGTTAACCTACCATCTTATGTCACACTCTGTTGTACGGTTTTACTGTACCATCTTATGTCAAGCTCTGTTTTACTGTGTTGCTGTACCATCTTATGTCACGCTCTGTTGTACCGTGTTACTGTACCATCTTATATCACGCTCTATTGTACCCGTGTTACTGTCTGAGGTCATGTCCCTACCACGAGGTATTGTCCATTTGTCTGCAATATTATCTATAAGTATTAGGACTGTACCGAATAGTGTTTTTCACTATTCGGCCGAATACGAATAGCTGGACCAACTATTTGGCAGAATACGAATACGAATAGTGAATCATCATCATCAGGTGCTTTGCCGACTGGCAAGGGTGATTATGCCTCGCCACAGTCTGCGATCTCCTGCAGCATGTATTAGTTCGTGTGCTGACACCCCTCCATGCCATGCGACAAGACTGTCAAGAATCTTCTCTCGTTGTCTTCCTCTATCCCTCCTTCCACATATCTTTCCAGTGGTCACCACATGTTCCATTTTCCCTCATCTTATAACATGGCCGAAAAATGATGACTGTCTCTTTCTGATGTCTGTGAGTAGTTGTCTTCGGGCTTCCGCCTCTTTCAAAACCTCTTGGTTGCTTTTTTTTTGGTTTTTTGCTTTCCAAGGTATTTTAAACATTTTCTGTAAAAACCACATCTCTGAGGCCTCAAGAAATTGTTTGGCCTGCCTACCAATTGTCCAGGACTCACAGCCATATTTTAAAACTGGATGTATGTAGCAAGCAAGAAAGCATTAGCTTTCAGAAAAAAAAAAATACACACAATCGTTTCATGTTGTCAGCATTAAGGCAGCTTCTTGTCTTACTGAAGGAATTTCCAGCTGTACTAAACGGATGTTCCCTTGGTTCGCTCGTAGGTGGTGCACAAAGTAACGCTTGACAGTATCAACCAAGGGGGGGGGGGGATCTTGATATGTTTATTTTCTACCAGTCCAGAAACGGGTGTAAGGTAACCACTATTCGTATTCGGCCCGACCGCAACTATTCGGCCGAATACCGAATAGTTATTAGGTCCACTATTCGGCCCCGAAGCGAATACGAAGCGAATATTCGGTACAGCCCTAATAAGTATATGTTCCATTTGACAGAGCTCGGCTGTAGGAAGCGTGGCCGCGAATGGTGGCTAATTCTAGGCTTGGTCGCTCCACCGGCGACGTACTGAGCCATGCGGAAGTAATGTGGCTGGGTCTACGATACTTGTCTCCCTTCCCCTGGGCAAGGGGACATCACTGCCGGCGACAAGGGGACATCACTGTCGGCGACAAGGGGAACTAAGACACGAACATTCCCACGGCTACAGGGTAGATATGGTTTTTCCACAGACGTTTGCCCTGATATCAGGGCCATACGGGAAATGTGATTTTTTTCACAGATGTGTGCCCTGATATCAGGACCCCTTCGGTCCACGGATATAGGGCTCACTTTTTGAAGCCAAGATCACACGGCGCCAGAAAGTGCCCGACCAGATCTGCTATTTAATAATTTCTGTCGTTTGGAGATCGTTCTGTGTTCAAGATCAGCGTACCTACGGGTTTTCTGCAGTGTGTCTGCCTTGAGAGCCACAACTGTCTAATCTGAAGCAGCTAGGCAAATAGAGTCTTACCAGAGAAGGATTTAAAAGAATATTGGAGATAGAATAGGATGACATAAAAGAGGATAAAAAAGGATAATATAACAGGAGGTATAGTGGGGTAATATATCAGAAGACCGTTTGGGAAAATTTTACAGAAGATAGAATGGGATAACACAACAGGTGATATAATGGGGTTACATTACAGAACATATAATATGATAGCATAAAAGGAGATAGTATGAAATATTTCCAAGAGATGGAACGGGATCATATAACGTGATATAGAATATGTTTATATAACAGGAGATAGAATGGGATAACATAACTGGAGGTAGATGTGGTAACCTAACACGAGATAGAATGTGATAAAACAACAGGAGATATAATGGGACAACATGAAAGGCAACAGAACAGGATAATGTAACAGGAAATAGAATGGGATAACATAACAGGAAGTAGAATAGGATAACACAACAGGAGATAAACACATGAAAACATAACAGAAGATAGAATGTTAAGTGTCTGATTGCCTTACACGACACATTGATGTCTGCAGGATGATGGTGATGCGTCACCTGGCGGCCATGTCCGTGTGTCTGCTGGCTTGCTGGGCAGGTGAGTACAGCTGACCTCGGAACCAAGGTGCGTCTCATTTAACTAGGAGACATCATAAACAATAGATAGATGGATACACGACAGAAAATAGACAAACTAAAACGCGACAGAAGACAGACAGACAAGAGCACAATATAAATTGTACATCAAAATTTATCCCACATTAGGAACACGCATGCTGGCAACATCAACGCTAGAAAGATCAATTCTGTTAACATTAATTCTGGTAACATCAGTTCTGTTAACATATGCGCTGTGAACATAAACACTGGGTACATAAACACTAGTAACATAAATACTGGGAACATAAACACTGGGCATATAAATATTGTGGACATAAACATGGATCATAAACATTGGGAGTCTTCAAGTTAGGATTATCAACAATGGAAACCTTAACGCCAGGAGCATCACCATTGAGAAAGTCAATACAGCAATCACCAACAACGTTAGTTTCATACAAGATAAGATTGCAGATGAAATATTCCTTTTTCTCACTGTCATTAGCAACTGTCTTTCCTTATCGTCATACATGTTACTGTCATTGACAACTATCTTTCCTTATCGTCATACATGTTACTGTCATTGACAACTGTCTTTCCTTATCGTCATACATGTTACTGTCATTGACAACTATCTTTTCCTTATCGTCATATTTGTCGCTGTCATTGACAACTGTCTTTTCCTTATCGTCATATTTGTCGCTGTCATTGACAACTATCTTTTCCTTATCGTCATATTTGTCGCTGTCATTGACAACTATCTTTCCTTATCGTCATATTTGTCGCTGTCATTGACAACTGTCTTTTCCTTATCGTCATATTTGTCGCTGTCATTGACAACTGTCTTTTCCTTATCGTCATATTTGTCGCTGTCATTGACAACTGTCTTTTCCTTATCGTCATATTTGTTGCTGTCATTGACAACTATCTTTTCCTTATCGTCATATTTGTCGCTGTCATTGACAACTGTCTTTTCCTTATCGTCATATTTGTCGCTGTCATTGACAACTGTCTTTTCCTTATTGTCATATTTGTCGCTGTCATTGACAACTATCTTTTCCTTACCGTCATATTTGTCGCTGTCATTGACAACTGTCTTTTCCTTATCGTCATATTTGTCGCTGTCATTGAAAACTGTCTTTTCCTTATCGTCATATTTGTCGCTGTCATTGACAACTGTCTTTTCCTTATCGTCATATCTATTCTGTGTGCTCCTCAAGGAAAAAAGACTGAATACTTTCCACATAGGCTGTATGAAACGTATATTAGGGCGAGGCTCTGTCTCCAACGAGTGTGCACTCATTAGAACAGGAATGCCAACAGTTGACTTTCTACTGAAGCAAACACGCCTCTACTGGTTGGGACAATGTTCTGGCATGGAAGATGGTGGCGATCTCATGTATGGCACACTGAAGACAGGGATAAGATTTGCAGAAAGGCCAAGCTACGCTGACCTGAAAGATATCAACAGGAGTACAGACACTTAGGAGAGATCGGCAACAGATCAACTTCTTTGGAGGCAGACAGTGAGAAACGGAGACAAGAGGCAAAACGCTACAAACTGTAGAGAGGAGATGGAGAGAAAACGAGCCTAAGGTTGGTAGTGTTTCAACATCTGCATGTGGACTAGATGGCAGAGACTGTAACTGCCGCACTGGACTTTATGGTCATAGCAAACAGTTTGCCTTAAACAAGCGGCACAACTCCATAGTCCCCACAGACTGATGGTTGCCTACTACATATTAGTTCTGATGAGTGCCATTCCTGTCAGCCTCCCCCCCCCCACCTTTTTTTTCCGGTGACCACAGCCACAACAAGCAAGGAGTACTAATCCAGCCTTCCATTATCCTCTACTGATATCAGTACCACCCCCCAACCTCAGTCAGCTTCCACAACCCTAAACTGACGAGAGATGTGCTTTAATTGCCACTTGTGCCATTGATTTCTCCTCTCCGCCGCTTGAGCGCTCAACAAATCACTTACAGTCACTGTCATCCCCTGTGTCACGTGCTACCGTCTTCCGGCCGGTGACGTCACTTCCGATTGCCGCCATGTTGACTTTCTACCTCACGTTCTGTCGCCTCAAAAAGTGTCGCCACTTCCGTTTCTTTCATTCTAGTTGTTAGCCTTATGTACAAATGCCTGCTGATATATTGAGCTCGGCGTGATGTCCTCCCATTCTTCTTCTGCTACTTCATTCACATAATCATCCCCCTCCCCCCCCCCCCCACCACTGCGGCTTCCGTTATTAACGAGCTTTCTTTACAAAATTATTCTCCGTTTTTTCCCCCGACTCTTTACTTTACCCAGGTACTTTTTTTGTCTTCCTCTTACACATGCCAGGTATTTCCCATCTTCCTCCAACACTCCCAGGCATTCCTCGTCTTCCTCCCATACTTCCCAGGTATTGCCCGTCTTCCTCCAACATTTCCCAGGTATTGCTCATCTTCTTCCAACATTTCCGAGGTATTGCCCGTCTCCCTCCAACACTTTTCAGATATTCAAACTCACACACTTGTCCTGACACCTATAAGATATACTGTTTCTACTCACAGTTGAGATAGTGCGTGACCCCAACGTGACCTACACCATTCACACGTGGCACACCGACGTGGCGGCATCACATGACTGCCGTGATCCAGCACGTTTTGATGTGTGACGAGACTCAGTGTGTTCCCTTGTTGCAAAAGTGTGATGGAGTGTTGGACTGTAGGAACGGATATGACGAAAGCGTTCCGTTGTGCGGTAAGTAGGACAAATGTCCAGCAAAAGTGTGATGGAGTGTTGGACTGTAGAAATGGATATGACGAAAGCGTTCCGTTGTGCGGTAAGTAGGACAAATGTCCAGCAAAAGTGTGATGAAGTGTTGGACTGTAGGAACAGATATGACGAAAGCGTTCCGTTGTGCGGTAAGTAGGACAAATGTCCAGCAAAAGTGTGATGGAGTGTTGGACTGTAGGAACGGATATGACGAAAGCGTTCCGTTGTGCGGTAAGTAGGACAAATGTCTAGAAAATGTTGATGTGACAAGTTGTCTGTTGGCTGACTGAGATTGAAAATTATTTCCCCACAAACCCGAGTTTATTGTGACAAGTTGTCTGTTGGCTGACTGAGATTGAAAATTATTTCCCCACAAACCCGAGTTTATTGTGACAAGTTGTCTGTTGGCTGACTGAGACTGAAAATTATCTGGCATTCAAAATTATTTCCCCACAAACCCAAGTTTATTGTGACAAGTTGTCTGTTGGCTGACTGAGATTGAAAATTATCTGGCATTCAAAATTATTTCCCCACAAACCCAAGTTTATTGTGACAAGTTGTCTGTTGGCTGACTGAGATTGAAAATTATCTGGCATTCAAAATTATTTCCCCAGAAACCCAAGTTTATTGTGACAAGTTGTCTGTTGGCTGACTGATTGATGGTTGATATAAATCATGACCTCACATTCACACCATGTTTGATGTGATAAATTGTCGGTTGGTTGACTGAGGTGAAAAGTTGTTTGTGGACTAATTGATTGGTTGATTGACATGAACACCCACACCACGTTTAATGTGACAAGTAGTCTGTGGACTGACTGATTGATTGACATGAACATGATCTCACACCATCTTTGATGTGATAGACTGACGTGACCAATTGTCTGTTGTTTGACTGAGGTGACAATTAGTGTGTTGATTAACTGCGGTGACCAGTTGTTTGTTAGTTGACCGAGACCGACATATTCTTATATTTTTTTTCAAATAAGTTCAATGTGACAAGTGGTATGTTGGTTTCCTGAGATCAACATTACCCCCCTTTCCCTGAGTTCAGTGTGACAAGTGATATTATGATTCTTGAAAGATTCCTCCCTCCTTGTATTCACCCAAACCTCCTAGCTTGAACTGGACACATAAACTGTTAACAGGTTGCCTTCCTAACGAGTTCCAGTGTAACTCCAGCCATTGCATCGACATCTTGCAGCGATGTGACCTACAGAACGACTGCCAGAACCAGGAGGACGAACTTAACTGTGGTTCGTATCAGTCTGTCAGCCACTTCTCTCTAGTACATTAGATCATCAGTCATTGCGGATAGACCGTTACATTACCTCTTCTCTGGTACTGGAGATCATCGGTACTGGAGGCACACAGTTCTATAAACACTTTCTTGTACACGAGATCATCAGTCACTGCAGGCAAACAGCTCTCTAAACTAGAAGTCAGTTCATAGATACACGCAAACAGCTCCCTAAATAAGAAGTCAGTTTATAGATACACGCAAACAGCTCCCTAAACAAGAAGTCAGTTGATAGATACACGCAAACAGCTCTCTAAACAAGAAGTCAGTTCATAGATACACGCAAACAGCTCCCTAAACAAGAAGTCAGTTCATAGATACACGCAAACAGCTCCCTAAATAAGAAATCAGTTTATAGATACACGCAAACAGCTCCCTAAACAAGAAGTCAGTTTATAGATACACGCAAACAGCTCTCTAAACAAGAAGTCAGTTCATAAATACACGCAAACAGCTCCCTAAATAAGAAATCAGTTTATAGATACACGCAAACAGCTCTCTAAACAAGAAGTCAGTTCATAGATACACGCAAACAGCTCCCTAAATAAGAAATCAGTTTATAGATACACACAAACAGCTCCCTAAACAAGAAGTCAGTTTATAGATACACGCAAACAGCTCTCTAAACAAGAAGTCAGTTCATAAATACACGCAAACAGCTCTCTAAACAAGAAGTCAGTTCATAGATACACGCAAACAGCTCTCTAAAGAAGAAGTCAGTTCATAAATACACGCAAACAGCTCTCTAAACAAGAAGTCAGTTCATAGATACACGCAAACAGCTCTCTAAACAAGAAGTCAGTTCATAAATACACGCAAACAGCTCCCTAAATAAGAAATCAGTTTATAGATACACGCAAACAGATCCCTAAACAAGAAGTCAGTTCATAGATACACGCAAACAGCTCTCTAAACAAGAAGTCAGTTCATAGATACACGCAAACAGCTCTCTAAACAAGAAGTCAGTTCATAGATACACGCAAACAGCTCTCTAAACAAGAAGTCAGTTCATAGATACACGCAAACAGCTCTCTAAAGAAGAAGTCAGTTCATAAATACACGCAAACAGCTCCCTAAACAAGAAGTCAGTTCATAGATACACGCAAACAGCTCTCTAAACAAGAAGTCAGTTCATAGATACACGCAAACAGCTCTCTAAACAAGAAGTCAGTTCATAGATACACGCAAACAGCTCTCTAAAGAAGAAGTCAGTTCATAAATACACGCAAACAGCTCCCTAAACAAGAAGTCAGTTCATAAATACACGCAAACAGCTCTCTAAACAAGAAGTCAGTTCATAGATACACGCAAACAGCTCTCTAAACAAGAAGTCAGTTCATAGATACACGCAAACAGCTCTCTAAAGAAGAAGTCAGTTCATAAATACACGCAAACAGCTCCCTAAATAAGAAGTCAGTTCATAGATACACGCAAACAGCTCCCTAAATAAGAAGTCAGTTCATAAATACACGCAAACAGCTCCCTAAATAAGAAGTCAGTTCATAAATACACACAAACAGCTCCCTAAACAAGAAGTCAGTTCATAGATACACGCAAACAGCTCCCTAAATAAGAAATCAGTTCATAAATACACGCAAACAGCTCCCTAAATAAGAAGTCAGTTCATAAATACACGCAAACAGCTCCCTAAACAAGAAGTCAGTTCATAAATACACGCAAACAGCTCCCTAAATAAGAAGTCAGTTCATAAATACACGCAAACAGCTCCCTAAACAAGAAGTCAGTTTATAAATACACGCAAACAGCTCCCTAAGTAAGAAGTCAGTTTATAGATACACTCAAACAGCTCTCTAAACAAGAAATCAGTTCATAGATACACGCAAACAGCTCCCCAAATAAGAAGTCAGAAAATAATTCATTACGTCCTTCTTAGGACGTTATTTTTTGTTATTTGAAGCCCCACTCTGGCTTTTGCCAGGGGCCGCAATATAGGCAGGTCATCATTATGGCCAAATGTCTGAACGCGGTTTCTGGGACCTCTCCACGGTGATCCTCACCCGCATGGTGGCACTTTGTGTCATCGGGTGTTTATCGCTTGTGTGATGTCCTGGTGGGGTAAAAAGCCATTCCATACACGCAAACAGCTCTCTAAACAAGAAGTCAGTTAATGGATACACGCAAACAGCTCTCTAAACAAGAAATCAGTTCATAGATACACGCAAACAGCTCCCCAAATAAGAAGTCAGTTCATAAATACACGCAAACAGCTCTCTAAACAAGAAGTCAGTTAATGGATACACGCAAACAGCTCCCTAAATAAGAAGTCAGTTCATAAATACACGCAAACAGCTCTCTAAACAAGAAATCAGTTCATAGATACACGCAAACAGCTCCCCAAATAAGAAGTCAGTTCATAAATACACGCAAACAGCTCTCTAAACAAGAAGTCAGTTAATGGATACACGCAAACAGCTCCCTAAATAAGAAGTCAGTTCATAGATACACGCAAACAGCTCCCTAAATAAGAAATCAGTTTATAGATACACGCAAACAGCTCCCTAAACAAGAAGTCAGTTCATAAATACACGCAAACAGCTCCTTAAATAAGAAGTCAGTTTATAGATACACGCAAACAGCTCCCTAAATAAGAAGTCAGTTCATAAATACACGCAAACAGCTCCCTAAACAAGAAGTCAGTTCATAAATACACGCAAACAGCTCCCTAAATAAGAAATCAGTTCATAAATACACGCAAACAGCTCCCTAAATAAGAAGTCAGTTTATAGATACACGCAAACAGCTCCCTAAACAAGAAGTCAGCTCATAGATACACGCAAACAGCTCCCTAAACAAGAAGTCAGTTCATAAATACACGCAAACAGCTCCCTAAATAAGAAGTCAGTTCATAAATACACGCAAACAGCTCCCTAAATAAGAAGTCAGTTCATAAATACACGCAAACAGCTCCCTAAACAAGAAGTCAGTTCATAAATACACGCAAACAGCTCCCTAAATAAGAAGTCAGTTCATAAATACACGCAAACAGCTCCCTAAATAAGAAGTCAGTTCATAAATACACGCAAACAGCTCCCTAAGTAAGAAGTCAGTTCATAAATACACGCAAACAGCTCCCTAAATAAGAAATCAGTTCATAAATACACGCAAACAGCTCCCTAAATAAGAAGTAAGTTTATAGATACACGCAAACAGCTCCCTAAATAAGAAGTCAGTTCACAAATACACGCAAACAGCTCTCTAAACAAGAAGTCAGTTAATGGATACACGCAAACAGCTCCCTAAATAAGAAGTCAGTTCATAGATACACGCAAACAGCTCTCTAAACAAGAAGACAGTTAATGGATACACGCAAACAGCTCCCTAAATAAGAAATCAGTTTATAGATACACGCAAACAGCTCCCTAAACAAGAAGTCAGTTCATAAATACACGCAAACAGCTCCCTAAACAAGAAGTCAGTTCATAGATACACGCAAACAGCTCCCTAAACAATAAGTCAGTTTATAGATACACGCAAACAGCTCCCTAAATAAGAAATCAGTTTATAGATACACGCAAACAGCTCCCTAAATAAGAAATCAGTTTATAGATACACGCAAACAGCTCCCTAAACAAGAAGTCAGTTCATAGATACACGCAAACAGCTCCCTAAACAAGAAGTCAGTTCATAGATACACGCAAACAGCTCCCTAAACAAGAATGTCAGTTGGTAAATTCAAGAAGTTGGCGTCTGCAGCTTACGCTTCCTAATGCTTGTGTGCCGGGTTCGATCCCAGGTGTAAGCAATTTAGCAGCACACAGTCTAGCTTTCGTTGCGAGTGGTACTGAGGGCTGATCGTTCAGGGGCAATGCTAAACTGATGAACGTGATATTTGCTTAGAAAAACCACAACCAAAAATGTTGGGGTTGGTTCTGCAACGTTCTGTACATGGCCAGCTGCAAATATATCTGTGTCCTGTTGTGGATGTGCAAATAACTGTTAACATGAAACAAACGAACCCGGCATTCTGTGCTGTTTGATTTTCTAAGGCAATTTACTTTCAGAAGTTTTCCATTGCCACGGTCGGCTCTGTATACCATTGTCGACACCGACGCCAAGCGACCTGCTACCACACTGCACGCAGCTGGAATCAAATTGGGTAGCTCGGAATGACAAAGCATGTTTACCAAGCCTCACCGACACACACACTAGTGAAACAATCATTCAGGGGTTATCAGATAGGCTCTAGGAATTGTGTATATTAGCATACCCACTTGAATATCATATCTTCATCATTGAGCACAAGCCTGGTGCCTGTAACCTTTTCTCTCACACCATCTGTCTCGTTACACACGCACTGATGGCCCAACAGCAACAACAACATCATCAACAACAACAGTAACAACGACAATAGCATCAATAACAACATCATCTTCATCAAGAACATCAGCATCACCAACAGCAAACAACATCATCAACAACAACAGTAACAACGACAACAACATCAATAACAACATCATCATCATCAACAACATCACTATCACCAAGAGAAACAACATCATCAACAACAACAGTAACAACGACAACAACATCAATAACATCATCATCATCATCAAGAACATCATCATCACCAACAGCAAACAACATCATCAACAACAACAGTAACAACGACAACAACATCAATAACAACATCATCATCATCAACAACATCACCATCACCAACAGTAACAATAACATCATCAACAACAACAGTAACAAAAACAACAGTAACAACAACAACAACATCAACAACATCAACAACAACAACATTTTCAACAGCAACATCGCCAACAACTACCCTTCAACCTACTGTTGTTCCACAGAAACATTTGTGTGTCCGGTAACCCACTTTAAATGCAGCAACCATAAATGTATACCACGTGACCTGGTTTGTGACTTCGACAACAATTGTGGCGATAACTCGGACGAGAGCTTCTGTGGTAGGTAGATCTCGTCACATCCCTCATTGTGCCGGTCTTTATGTCACAGTCATCTGTCTCTTCGTCACTTTGCAATCCGTGGGTTGGCACAGTGGGACAGCCCTGTTTTCTCAGTGCCCCTGTGTCTTTGGTTGTTGTTCTAGTTTCATCAGTTATATGCTGCTTAGTCGAAAGTGGATAAAAAGTTTCCATTATCATTTCAATGTGTATCTGTGTTTTATGTATTTAGTTTTATTATTATTCGAGCACACAGTCTAATGATAATTAGATCAGATAATAGATCATGATTAGTTGGGTAATATTCATTACCTTATGTTTTGTACAGGTTAAATGATTATTTATGAAATAATATTGTTTCTTTGGTGACTGGCAGTTCGTCGGCCATGTTTGTTTACGGAGTTCACGTGCGACAACGGCGAGTGCACGGCCATCAACCGGATGTGTGACGGAGTCTTCAACTGTAGGGACGGAAGTGACGAGAACCCACAACACTGCAGTAAGTGAACCAGATGTTGGTGTATACAACAGACACACACACACACACACACACACACAACACTTCAGTAAACCGGATGTTGGTGTACACCAGATACACACACACAACACTGCAGTAAGTGAACCGGATGTTGGTGTACACCAAATACACACACACCCACACACACACATACACACACACTCTCTCATACACACACACAACACTGCAGCAAGTAAACCGAGTGTTGGTGTACACCAGATACACACACACATACACACACACTCACACACACTCACACAAACACACATACGCACAGCACTGCAGTAAGTGAACCGGATGTTGGTGTACACCAGATCCACACACACTCACACACACACACACACACAACACTGCAGCAAGTAAACCCGGTGTTGGTGTATACCAGATACACACACACATACACACACATACATACACACTCACACAAACACACACACACACACACACACAAAACTGCTGCAAGTAAACCGGGTGTTGGTGTACACCAGATACACACACACAAACACACTAACACAAAACACTGCCGTAAGTGAACTGATGTACACCAGATACACACACACACACATAACGCTGCAGTAATTGTACCGGTTGTTGGTGTACACCAGATACACTCACACAAACACACTCACAACACTGCAGTAAGTGTACCGGGTGTTGGTGTTTGTCAGAGACCCGCCTACTGCCCTCAAGTGAAATAGCTGGTGTTCAGCTCTATGACAGAAACGTCTGCCCTCAAGTGAAATAGCTGGTGTTCAGCTCTATGACAGAAACGTCTGCCCTCAAGTGAAATAGCTGGTGTTCAGCTCTATGACAGAAACGTCTGCCCTCAAGTGAAATAGCTGGTGTGCCACTCTATGACAGAAACGTCTGCCCTCAAGTCAAATAGCTGGTGTGCCACTCTATGACAGAAACGTCTGAACTCAAGTCAAATAGCTGGTGTGCCACTCTATGACAGAAACATCTGAACTCAAGTCAAATAGCTGGTGTGCCACTCTATGACAGAAACGTCTGCCCTCAAGTCAAATAGTGCAGCTCTATGACAGAAACGTCTGCCCTCAAGTGAAATAGCTGGTGTTCAGCTCTATGACAGAAACGTCTGCCCTCAAGTGAAATAGCTGGTGTTCAGCTCTATGACAGAAACGTCTGCCCTCAAGTGAAATAGTGCAGCTCTGTGACAGAAACGTCTGCCCTCAAGTCAAATAGCTGGTGTGCCACTCTATGACAGAAACGTCTGAACTCAAGTCAAATAGCTGGTGTGCAGCTCTATGACAGAAACATCTGCCCTCAAGTGAAATAGTGCAGCTCTATGACAGAAACGTCTGCCCTCAAGTGAAATAGTGCAGCTCTATGACAGAAACGTCTGTCCTTAAGTCAAATAGCTGGTGTGCAGCTCTATGACAGAAACGTCTGCCCTCAAGTGAAATAGTGCAGCTCTATGACAGAAACGTCTGCCCTCAAGTGAAATAGCTGGTGTGCAGCTCTATGACAGAAACGTCTGCCCTCAAGTGAAATAGCTGGTGTGCCACTCTATGACAGAAACGTCTGCCCTCAAGTGAAATAGTGCAGCTCTATGACAGAAACGTCTGCCCTCAGGTGAAATAGTGCAGCTCTATGACAGAAACGTCTGCCCTCAAGTGAAATAGCTGGTGTGCAGCTCTATGACAGAAACGTCTGCCCTCAAGTGAAATAGCTGGTGTGCCACTCTATGACAGAAACGTCTGAACTCAAGTCAAATAGCTGGTGTGCAGCTCTATGACAGAAACGTCTGCCCTCAAGTCAAATAGCTGGTGTGCCACTCTATGACAGAAACGTCTGCCCTCAAGTCAAATAGCTGGTGTGCCACTCTATGACAGAAGCGTCTGCCCTCAAGTCAAATAGCTGGTGTGCCACTCTATGACAGAAGCGTCTGAACTCAAGTCAAATAGCTGGTGTGCCACTCTATGAGAGAAACGTCTGAACTCAAGTTAAATAGCTGGTGTGCAGCTCTGTGACAGAAACGTCTGCCCTCCAACACAACTAAACCTACATCGTCAGGGCGTACATCGGCCTTTAGTATAATATACATGTTACCAGACGATAGTGTCACGTGTCTTTATTGGGTTTCCCCAAATAATAATTATAGACACTTTAAGTGATTTATTGGTGAGATGACGGTTCGCAGTTTCCTAGGCGGTCTCTGCAGCTCCAACAACCATCCAATATCACTTCAGGGATGAAGCGACTCAAGACGTTGGCTCACAGAATTTCTAAAGATTTTCCTGAGCACAACTCGACCAGACTTCCTTACCACTTAATAGTTCTCAGACTGGATATGATTACCAAACCACTCCAACAAACAGTGTATCGACAGGAATCTGATTTAAGACAACAACAACAAAAAAAAAAAAAAAAAAAAAGAAGCTAAAGGAAAGTAGAAATCTCAATGGAATGATCTACCAGATAGTATGACATAAACAATGTCTAGTCAGGAATAACGACTGGCCAGACTTAAGGTCAAGGCTGTGTGTCATCTCTGCACTGAAGATGAATAAGGGGACAGTAAAATCATGGCATGGGTTGACCTGTTGGCTGTACTTCCGGTCAATAATACTTATTATCTAGGTACGAACAGCAGCTCTTCTCAGTCCTAGTCGATTCTTCTGGAGAATTCCACTGGCACAGTTCTACACACAAAGAACCAACTACTACCCACAATTACAGAGTTCATGTCACTGGCAGGATGGAAGTAACTATCTATATATCATAAATAATGTGTGGCTGTGGCACCATCTTATGTCTGGCCAATTGGATCACATTGTCGTAGCTTTAGCTGGCTTCTAAGACGTGTGATTCGTTGTGATTGCCTGCAGAGTTAATGGAGTCACTAGCAGAGAGGATAGTGGGTTTACCTGGGTAAGGTAATAAGGGATGATAGATTGGGTTTATAGCTTTTGTTGGTCGATATTTCACGTTGAACTAGAAACAAGTCCTAGTTGAATCAGCAGTTTACTGGATCGTAGCTCACACATCGCATGCTCTTCTGAAGTTCCTAGGTGAATCAGTGGCTTTCGAACAAGTTATAAAAGTACGTTGTCAGTGAAGGCGTTAGAACGTTTTCTGACTATGGGCTCCGTGTCTCGAATGACGACACATTCAAAACTCGCTAGAGCCAGAACCGGCAAGGATTTTTTCGCATAACAAGCGTTAGTTTGAAACATAAAATCTCCTACCTGTGAATGAATTCATAATTTAACTCACTCTTAATAGATTAAGGATTGAACAAGGTTCCCTTACCTACATCATGTCTCACACTTACCAAACAAGGACTATACAGATATTGAGGAATGGTCCATGCTGGAAAACCTACATCATGTCTCACACTTACCAAACAAGGACTATACAGATATTGAGGAATGGTCCATGCTGGAAAACCAACATCATGTCTCATATTAACCAAGAAGGACTATACAGATATTGAGGAATGGTCCATGCTTAAATACAAATCATTTGCATACAGGTGTATACGTGTGGACGAACCTAACGCAGAGGGGTGTACTGACTGGTTTTGTGACAACACAACAAGCACTCATGCTTGAGAAACACTCATACAAACATATATACAAACACTTATACTAACACATATACAGACACACATACAAACACATATAAAACACTCATAGAAACACATATACAAGCACAAATACAAGCACATAAGCAATCACACATACAAAACACATAGAAACACTAAATGCAAGGAGAAGCTAATAAAATATTCTCCATGTCTTTTAAAACCACACAATCACAGGCACACAAACGCATAGATGCACACAGAAACACACACACACACACACACACATCTACCAAAACAATCACACATATTCACACATAAACGCATAATTACACACAAACACACACACACACACACAGAACAGTAAACTAGCACACAAACGCATAGAAACACAAAGAGACATACACATACACGCACACACACATATGCACTCAACGTCACACATCGTTAACGGTCGTCTTGTGTGTCCTAACTGAGATAACCCCCCAACACACACACAAACACACACACTCATACAATCCCGCACCCACACACAGTAATGAGTTGTCCTGGTTGAAGTAAAAACACACACAAAACACACATTCAAGCAAACAGTCAGACACCGTGTAACCAATTGCCTTGTCTGTCCTGGTTGAGGTGAACACACACACACACACACACACACACACAGTCAGTAACCAGTTGTGTTGCCTGTCCTGGTTGAGGTGAACACACACACACAGACACACACACACTCACACAGTCAGTAACCAGTTGTGTTGCCTGTCCTGGTTGAGGTGAACACACACACACAGACACACACACACTCACACAGTCAGTAACCAGTTGTGTTGCCTGTCCTGGTTGAGGTGAACACACACACACATACACACACACACAGACACACACACACACAGTCAGTAACCAGTTGTCTTGTCTGTCCTGGTTGAGGTGAACACACACACACAGACACACACACTCCCACAGACACACACACAGACACACACACAGACACACACACAGACACACACACAGACACAGACACACACAGACACACACAGACACACACACATACAGACACACACACACACACAGACACACACACAGACACACACACACACACAGACACACACACAGACACACACACAGACACACAGACACACACACAGACACACACAGACACACACACACACAGACACACACACACACACACACACACACAGACACAGACACACACAGATACACACACACAGACACACACACAGACACACACACAGGTCACAGACACACACAGACACACACACACAGACACACACACACACACAGAGACACACACACACACACACACACACACACAGACACACACACACACACACACAGAGACACACACACACACACACACACACAGACACACACACACACAGACACACACACACAGACACACACAGACACACACACACACACAGTCAGTAACCAGTTGTCTTGTCTGTCCTGGTTGAGGTGAACACACACACACACACACACATTCACGCACACAGTCAGTAACCAGTTGTCTTGTCTGTCCTGGTTGAGGTGACCCCTCACTCCCACACACTCACACACACAGTCAGTAACCAGTTGTGTTGCCTGTCCTGGTTGAGGTGAACAGTTCCAGTGCCCCAGCGGTGTCTACGTGAACAGTCTGAGTCGCTGTGATGGCTGGTTGGACTGCAACCTCACACATTCCGATGAGCTGAACTGTAAGTTGTTCTCTCACAGTTCCTACACTCTCCCGCAATCCTTCTCTCTCACACAATCCTACTCGTTCAATAATCTTACTCTCTCACACAATCTGACGCTCTCTCACACACAATCTTACTTTTTTTTTTTTTACACAATATTACTCTCACACAGCTACATTCTGTCACACATCATGTGTCTGCCGTACACCAGTAGCCCATGTGTGTAGTTAAGCAGTAAGTCTTGATTCTAGAAGAAACCAAGTTCGAGGCGTTTTCTTTGTGCCTATGAGTTGCGTGGCTGTGGGATTCACAATCGTTAACACAGTCAATCAGGTCTAGAAGAGCGATACCAGACTGGTTGACGTTACCTCCCTGATCACTTGCCCGACAACCAGGACACTACTGGGTTGTCCGTTGACAAACCCTCATTACTAGTGTGCCTGTTGACAAACCCTCACTACAGGAGTGCTCGTTGACAAACCCTCACTACAGGTGTGCCTGTTGACAAACCCTCATTACTGGTGTGCTCGTTGACAAACCCTTACTACAGGTGTGCCTGTTGACAAACCCTCACTACTGGTGTGCTCGTTGACAAACCCTCACTACAGGTGTGCCTGTTGACAAACCCTCACTACTGGTGTGCGCGTTGACAAACCCTCACTACAAGTGTGCTCGTTGACAAACCCTCACTACAGGTGTGCTCGTTGACAAACCCTCACTACAGGTGTGCTCGTTGACAAACCCTCATTACTGGTGTGCTCGTTGACAAACCCTCACTACAGGTGTGCCTGTTGACAAACCCTCCTTACTGGTGTGCTCGTTGACAAACCCACACTACTGGTGTGCCTGTTGACAAACCCTCATTACTGGTGTGCTCGTTGACACACCCTCACTACTGGTGTGCCTGTTGACAAACCCTCACTACAAGTGTGCTCGTTGACAAACCCTCACTACAAGTGTGCTCGTTGAAAAACCCTCACTACTGGTGTGCCCGTTGACAAACATTGTCAAGTTTGTGTGTGCTAACGTTTGCGTGCCTGATTTACTCTCATTATCTTTGTCTTGAAGTAATATGGTTTCTCTTAATGCCCCCCCCCCCCACCTCCCCCTCCCCCACTCCAAGACGTGGATTCGTACACCTATGTGGGCGGCAATGTAGATACAAATGGAGGAACAGATAGAGATTTTCAAATAAGAATGAACACAAAAGGCAAGAGGAGCTTTCATAGCACTAGGGAATTTGTGGAGGTCACAAGAAATTAAATGAAATACAAAATTTAAAATGTTTAAATTCTAATGTCAAATCAGTACTTTTGTATGGAGCGGAAAACATGGAGAACAAATAAGGAAATTGCTAATAAACTACAGACATTCATTACTGGTGCCTGCGCAAAATATAGGGAATGAAACGGCATGATAGAATCACTAATGTAGGGCTTTGGGAGAAAACTAAGCAAGCTTTACTGGACCAAGAGGTGAAGAAAAGACGCTGACCTTGGATAAAACACCTATTGAGAAAACCGGAGAACAATATAACTAGAATATCTTTGCACTGGAACCCACAGGGGCATGGGAATGAAGGATGGCAACAACAACAACAACAACAACAACAACAACAACAACCACAAAAACACATAGAGAAAGGAAGTTAGAAAGATGGGGAAGACATAGGGAGAACTGCATGCGATAGCAAAGGATAGAACGACTTGGCGTAAGTTGGTTGAGGACCTATGCTCCATTGGGTGCTAGAAGGGAAGAAGAAAGTTTGTGTGTAGTCAGATGTTTGTGTGTAACCAAGATTGTATGTGGTCAAATTTGTGTGTAGTCAAATGTATGTGCTGTAAAGATTGTATGTGGTCAAGTTTGTGTGTTGTCAGATTTGTGTATGGTCAAGTTTGTGTGGTCAAGATTGTATGTGCTCAAGTTTGTGTATTGTTAGATTTGTGTGTGGTCAGTGACACATTTTGCCACTATTGTGCTTCTGTGCAGTTCCACACACACAGCAGATGGCCTTGGCTCGCCATTTCTGTCTGTCCATTACTTGCTGTGTCCATGTCTGTCTGGCCATCACTTGCTGTGTCCATATCTGTCTGGCCATCACTTGCTGTGTCCATATCTGTCTGGCCATAGCTTGCTGTGTCCATGTCTGTCTGGCCATAGCTTGCTGTGTCCATGTCTGTCTGGCCATAGCTTGCTGTGTGCATATCTGTCTGGCCATCGCTTGATGCGCCCTGGTTTGTCAGTCTGGCCATCACTTGCTGTGTCTATGTCTGTCTGGCCATCGCTTGCTGTGTCTATGTCTGTCTGGCAATCGCTAATCTGGCTATGCATGTCTGGCCATCACTTATCTGGTAATGTCTGGCCATCACTTATCTGGCTATGTTTGTCTGGCCATCACTTGCTGTGCCCTGGTTTGTCTGTCTGGCCATCGCTTGCTGTGTCCATATCTGTCTGGCCGTCGCTTGCTGTGTCCATGTCTGTCTGGCAATCGCTAATCTGGCTATGCATGTCTGGCCATCGCTTATCTGGCTATGTCTGACTAATGATCGCTTATCTGGCTATTTCTGTCTGGCTATCGCTTATCTGGCTATGTCTGTCTGGCCATCGCTTATCTGGCTATGTCTGTCTGGCCATCACATATCTAGCTATGTCTGTCTGGCCATCACTTATCTGTCTATTTCTGTCTGACCATCGCTTATCTGGCTATGACTGTCTTGCCATCGCTTATCTAGCTACTTCTGTTTGGCCTATGCTTATTTGGCTATTTCTGTCTGGATATCGCCTAACTGGCTATGTGTGTCTGGCCATCGCTTACCTGACTATATGTGTCTGGACATCGCTTGAATGACTATGTCTGTCTGATGCCTATGTCTGTCTGATGTCTATGTCTGTCTGATGTCTATGTCTGTCTGATGTCTATGTCTGTCTGATGTCTATGTCTGTCTGATGCCCATGTCTGTCTGATGCCCATGTCTGTCTGATGCCCATGTCTGTCTGATGCGCATGTCTGTCTGATGCCCATGTCTGAAATATTCTCTCTGCATGTTATGTAACACTGCTGTGCTTGGGTCTGATGTAGTTTCCTTGGCCTTGCAGGTGGGGAATGTTTGCAGCCTAAGTTTTTGTGCGGTAACGGCGAATGTCTCAGCGAAGCTGCGATCTGTGACCAGGTGTGTGACTGCATCCATTGTGAGGACGAGATGAACTGTGGTAAGTGATGTCATCACTAGCTTTTGTTTGTTTCCATGATCGTTGATGTCATCACTAGCTTATGTTTGTTTCCATGATCGTTGATGTCATCACTAGCTTATGTTTGTCTCCATGATCGTTGATGTCATCACTAGCTCATGTTTGTCTCCATGATCGTTGATGTCATCACTAGCTTATGTTTGTTTCCATGATCGTTGATGTCATCACTAGCTTATGTTTGTTTCCATGATCGTTGATGTCATTACTAGCTCATGTTTTCCATGATCGTTGATGTCATTACTAGCTTATGTTTGTTTCCATGATCGTTGATGTCATCACTAGCTTATGTTTGTTTCCATTATCGTTAATGTCATCACTAGCTCATGTTTGTCTCCATGATCGTTGATGTCATCACTAGCTTATGTTTGTTTCCATGATCGTTGATGTCATCACTAGCTTATGTTTGTTTCCATGATCGTTGATGTCATTACTAGCTCATGTTTTCCATGATCGTTGATGTCATTACTAGCTTATGTTTGTTTCCATGATCGTTGATGTTATCACTAGCTTATGTTTGTTTCCATGATCGTTGATGTCATCACTAGCTCTTGTTTGTTTCCATGATCGTTGATGTCATCACTAGCTTATGTTTGTTTCCATGATCGTTGATGTCATCACTAGCTTATGTTTGTTTCCATGATCGTTGATGTCATCACTAGCTTATGTTTGTTTCCATGATCGTTGATGTCATCACTAGCTTATGTTTGTTTCCATGATCGTTGATGTCATCACTAGCTCTTGTTTGTTTCCATGATCGTTGATGTCATCACTAGCTTATGTTTGTTTCCATGATCGTTGATGTCATCACTAGCTTATGTTTGTTTCCATGATCGTTGATGTCATCACTAGCTTATGTTTTTTTCCATGATCGTTGATGTCATCACTAGCTTATGTTTGTTTCCATGATCGTTGATGTCATCACTAGCTTATGTTTGTTTCCATGATCGTTGATGTCATCACTAGCTCTTCTTTGTTTCTATGATCGTTGATGTCATCACTAGCTCTTCTTTGTTTCTATGATCGTTGATGTCATCACTAGCTCATGTTTGTTTCCATGATCGTTGATGTCATCACTAGCTTATGTTTGTTTCCATGATCGTTGATGTCATCACTAGCTTATGTTTGTTTCCATGATCGTTGATGTCATCACTAGCTTATGTTTGTTTCCATGATCGTTGATGTCATCACTAGCTCATGTTTGTTTCCATGATCGTTGATGTCATCACTAGCTCATGTTTGTTTCTATGATCGTTGATGTCATCACTAGCTCTTGTTTGTTTCCATGATCGTTGATGTCATCACTAGCTCTTCTTTGTTTCCATGATCGTTGATGTCATCACTAGCTTATGTTTGTTTCTATGATCGTTGATGTCATCACTAGCTTATGTTTGTTTCCATGATCGTTGATGTCATCCTCAGGGTCGTCATTGTCTTTTCTATAATTCTAGCAATGAAACTCACCAAGGCAAATCAGGCTATATACAGCAACAACTACAGCCACACACAAGCACACACACACACACACAGACGCAAACACGCAGACACAAACACGCAGAAACATATCTAGAAATACACACACACATACATACACCCACACAAACGCATATACACACACATACAAACACACATGCACACACACAAACACATACAATGTCAAGTACATATGTTCGCACCGATGGCGTACTAGGCATATCATTCTAGACCCATACTTTATAGGGGCACTTGATGGCTGATGTGGTCTACATACAACCGGCTGCCGTTAGCTACCGGAATTTGACCTGCTACACAGTTAAGTCTGCTTTGACCTACACAACACCGTCACCCCAAACCCCATATATATATATATATATATATATATATATATATATATATATATATATATATATATATATATATATATATATATATATCATCAGGTGCCTTGCCGACTGGCGTGGGCGATCATGCCTCTCCATAATCTGCGATCTCCTACAGCATGTATCATTTCGTATGCCGACACACCTCCATGCCATGCAACAAGACTGTCAAGCATCTTCTCTCGCTATCTTCCTCTATCCCTCCTTCCACAGATCTTTCCAGTGGTCACAACATGTTCTGTTTTCCCTCTTCTCATAACATGGCCGAAAAATGATGACTGTCTCCTTCTGATGTCTGTGATAAGTTGTCTTCGGGCTCCCACCTCTTTCAAAACCTCTTGGTTGCTCTTTTTGGCTGTCCAAGGAATTCTAAGCATATATACATATTGTTCCTCTCCTCCTCCTCAGACGTCTAGATGCCCTCTTTTTCACGGCTGCCTTTCTCTGTCTCTGTAGTGTCCCCTCCCGGCGTCCATCCACTGCTTTGTCACGGTTACCATTCTCTGTCTATGTTATGTCCCCTCCCAGCGTCCATCCACTACTCTTTCACGGCTGCCTTTCTCTGTCTCTGTTATGTCCCCTCCCGGCGTCCAACCACTACTCTTTCACGGCTGCCTTTCTCTGTCTCTGTTATGTCCCCTCCCGGCGTCCAACCACTACTCTGTCACGGTTACCATTCTCTGTCTCTGTAGTGTCCCCTCCCGGCGTCCATTCACTACTCTGTCACGGTTACCATTCTCTGTCTCTGTTATGTCCCCTCCCGGCGTCCATCCACTACTCTTTCACGGCTGCCTTTCTCTGTCTCTGTTATGTCCCCTCCCGGCGTTCATCCACTACTCTTTCACGGCTGCCTTTCTCTGTCTATGTTATGTCCCCTCCCGGCGTTCATCCACTACTCTTTCACGGCTGCCTTTCTCTGTCTCTGTTATGTCCCCTCCCGGCGTCCAACCACTACTCTGTCACGGTTACCATTCTCTGTCTATGTTGTGCAGGCGGAGATCTGATCAAAGCAATGTTTCTCCCTTGTAAATTTGAACAAAGAAGACACAAACAATAAATTGCACAATTTATTACCTGGCATATTTCGCTGTATCTCGTCAGGTGCATGGTGACCTAGTTTGAGTGGGAAAAGCGGAAAAAGCCATGCAAAATAATATTCCCAATGAGAATACTGGCCGCAAAGATGACCTCTCTGCAATAGCACGCCATCTTCTAAAATCTGGACACGTGGGGATTAAGGACAAATCATTTCAAATCCTTCATAAGTCAACCAATGGCAGAACGCTAAGATTTCTCGAAGCTTCCGCGATTCGTCACCTACTCCCGGAACTCTGTATTCAGGAAGAGATGGTTCTGTCTTTACGGCTGCCCTGGTTAAAACGGGCAGTCATGTTTGATAGTTGTTGAAATTGTACTTCAGTTATAAAGGATTCACTTATGTCCTTTATGTATGTAATTGTTACTGTAGTATGCACCTGAAGAGATCTGATGGCCTTGTGTACCACGTGACTGTTGCAGGGCTGGACTACTGTCACCAAGGTAAACCGCTACATGTGTCGGGGCTGGCCCCATCGCTGTCTAGCTCATGCTCATGTCTGCGACGGGGCCAACGACTGCAAGAACACGGCGGCCGGCATGGACGAGTTCTTTTGTCGTGAGTACCCAAGGCCATACGTATAGGGAAAGTGTACATGTTATTTCCATTTGTCTTATCATCACCGACAGCAACCACAACAAGAACGCCCCACCATCACTGAAAACAACAACAATAACATAAACCGCAAGAGCACTGCCCTTACTAGAAACAATAACAATAGCAGCAAAAAACGAAAGCACCACCATCACTAGAAACATTACCAATAATAGCAACAACAACAAAAGCACCACATCTCACTAGAAACAACAACAATAACGTCATCAACACCACCACCGCCACCACTAGAAATAACAACAATAACACCAACAACAATAGCACCACTCCCACCACTAGAAACAACAACAACATAAGCAACACCACCACCACTATAAACAACAACAATAACATCAACAACAATAGCACCACCACCACCACCACTAGAAACAGCAACAATAACATCAACAACACCGTCACCACTGGAAATAACAACAATAACAACAACAACATAAGCAGCACCACCACCACTAGAAACAACAACAATAACATAAACAACAATAGCACTACCACCACCACTAGAAACAGCAACAATAACAACAACAACAACAGCACCACCACCACTAGAAACAACAACAACAACAACATCACTACCATCGCCAGAAAAACAACAAAAACATCAACAACAGCAGCAGCACCACTGTGACTAGTTACAACAATAACAACCTTAACCCTGTTCTGTCCTGAGTATCAACATACCACCAAGATTACATATTTTATCCATATGATTGGGTGAAACATTACATGTTTTATCCAAATGATTGGGTGAAAATTACATGTGTTATCCATATGTCTAATCCCAGCTCGCTAGCGTAGTTGGTTAAACCTGACCGCGGTGACTGGGTGACAAACTCCTTGTGGTCCGCGTTCACATATCTCCACAGTACCTGTCACGGAATCCAGGCCGAAGGGTTGCGATATTCATAGTACCCAGCCACAGGGTTAACTCGTGGTTTCTGGGTACTTAAACAGAAAAAAATCCACATGACTGGGTGAAGATTACATGTTTTATCAGTAGACTTGGGTGAAGAATACATGTTTTATCAGTAGACTTGCGTGAAGATTACATGTTTTATCAGTAGACTTGCGTGAAGATTACATGTTTTATCAGTAGACTTGGGTGAAGATTACATGTTTTATCAGTAGACTTGGGTGAAGATTACATGTTTTATCAGTAGACTTGCGTGAAGATTACATGTTTTATCAGTAGACTTGGGTGAAGATTACATGTTTTATCAGTAGACTTGGGTGAAGATTACATGTTTTATCAGTAGACTTGGGTGAAGATTACATGTTTTATCAGTAGACTTGGGTGAAGATTACATGTTTTATCAGTAGACTTGGGTGAAGATTACATGTTTTATCAGTAGACTTGGGTGAAGATTACATGTTTTATCCATATGTATAGGGAAAGTGTACATGTTTTATCCATTTGTCTTAGTGAAGAATAAATGCTTTATCTATATGTCTGTGAGATACCTAAAAACATCATGTGACACCTAGTGATGTGACCTATGACAACCCAGGAAGATGACCTAATACAACCCAGCAACACATGCTGTTACAACACAGTAACATTACATTTGACAACCCACAACACATGCTGTTACAACGCAGTGGAATGACATATGACAGCCCAGTAACATGACCTATTACAACCCAGTAACATGACATATGACAACCCAGTAACTGACCTATGACAACTCAGTAACATGACCTTTGACAACCAAGTAACATGAACTATTACAACCCAGTAACATGACCTATGACAACCCAGTAACTGACCTATGACAACCCAGTAACATGACCTATGACAATCCAGTAACATGACCTATGACAACCCAGTAACTGACTTATGACGACCCAGTAACATGACCTATGACAACCTAGTAACATGAACTATTACAACCCAGTAACGTGAACTATTACAACCCAGTAACTGACCTATGACAACCCAGTAACTGACCTATGACAACGCAGTAACATGACCTATGACAACCCAAAAACATGACATATGACAACCCAGTAACGTGACATATGACAACCCAGTAACTGACCTTTGACAACCCAGTAACTGACATATGACAACCCAGTAACATGACCTATAACAACCCAGCAACATGACCTATGACAACCCAGTAACATGACATATGACAACTTAGTAACTGACCTATGACAACCCAGTAAAATGACCTATAACAATCCAGTAACATGTCCTATAACAAGCCAGTAACATGACCTATGAAAACCCAGTATCATGACACATGACAACCCAGTAACACATCCTGTGACAACCCAGTAACATGACCTGTGACAACCCAGTAACATTTCCTGTGATATTCCGATATTCCCAGATAACTCCAGTGATTGCTCCAGTTTTCCCCACGTGCAGCCCAACTTCCAATGTCCGGAGGGTCGGTGCCTGCCGCTGTCAGTCAAGTGTGACCACTACAAAGACTGTCTAGGCGGCGAGGATGAGAACGATTGTGGTCAGTCATGTAGATCTTCTCTTAGATTTTCAGCAGTTGTCTGACACATAAAAGGTTCCTCTGGGAATGATCTCCTTCCCTTAACACGCTCCTGTTAGCCTCAGTTGTAATTAGCTGCCATATTCACGTTTCCGCCTCATATCTCAGCCTCATTTGTAACTAGCTGCCATATTCACGTGTCCGCCTCATATCTCAGCCTCAATGTATCCTTTTACTTCACATCCACACATGACTCATATTTAAGCCTCCCATGTCCATCATATTATCTTACAGATAACTTGTACAAGACTTTGTTAACATACTGTGTACACAACTATGCTAACATACCTTATACACCACTTTGTTAACATACTGTGTACACAACTATGCTAACATACCTTGTTCACAACTAAACTGAATATATCTTGTATACCAATGTTTCAACAAACCTTGTACAAAACTGTGGTAACATAACATGTACACAACTATGTTTACATACCTTATACACCACTTTGTTAAAATACTGTGTACACAACTATGTTAACATGCCTTTTACACAGCTATATTGCAAATACCTTGTACACCACTATGTTAACATACCGTGTATGCAACTCTGTTGCATTTATACACACTATTATGTTCATTTACCCTGTACACAACTGTGCTAATCATTTTTTGTACAAGATTATGTTCAAACACATTGTACACAGTTAAAACGACATAATGAACACACAGGAAGGTAACAAAGACAACCATGTTACAGACTTCCAGCCCTGTGCGCCAACCCATTTCCAGTGTGACAACCACAACTGTGTCTCTATGACGTCACGGTGTGATGCTGTCAACAACTGTCTGGACTGGTCTGATGAAATGGCGTGTGGTAGGTACATCACCACAACCACACCATCCTCATTGTTATAGTGACATCATCACAGCCACATCTTCATAGCCACATAATCACAGCTACATCATCATAGTCACATCATTATAGCCACATCATCATAACAGTCACATAATTATAGCCACATCATCATAACAGTCACATAATTATAGCCACATCATTATAACAGTCACATAATTATAGCCACATCATCATAACAGTCACATCATCACAGCTACATCGTCACAGTCACATCATCACAGCTACATCATCATAGCCACATCATCATAGTTACATCATCACAGCTACATCATCATAGCCACATCATCATAGTTACATCATCACAGCTACATCGTCACAGTCACATCATCACAGCTACATCATCACAGCCACATCATCACAGTCACAACATCACAGCTACATCATCATAGTTACATCATCATAGCCACATCATCATAGTTACAACATCACAGCTACATCATCATAGCCACATCATCACAGCTACATCATCATAGTTACATCATCATAGCCACATCATCATAGTTACAACATCACAGCTACATCATCATAGCCACATCATCACAGTCACATCATCACAGTCACAACATCACAGCTACATCATCATAACAGTCACATCATCAAAGCCACATCATAACAGTCACATCATCACAGCAACATCATCATAGCAGTCACATCATCATAGCCACATCATAGCCACATCATAGCAGTCACATCATCAGAGCTACATCATTATAACAGTCACATCATCACAGCAACATCATTATAACAGTCACATCATCACAGCAACATCATTATAACAGTCACATCCTCACAGCAACATCATCATAGCAGTCACATCATCATAGCCACATCATAGCAGTCACATCATCATAGCCACATCATAGCAGTCACATCATCATAGCCACATCATTATAACAGTCACATCATCACAGCAACATCATCATAGCAGTCACATCATAACAGCTAAATCATAGCAGTCATATCATCACAGCTACATCATCATAGCCACATCATCACAGCCACATCATCACAGCCACATCGTCACATCCACATAATCATAAGAGTCACATTATCACAGCTATATCATCATAACAGTCATATAATCACAGCCACATCATCACAGCCACATCGTCATTACAGTCACATCATCACTATCACATTGTCAGAGACCTTATGTCTGCCTTAATGGCATGTGGCTCCTGTTGCAGGCCTGTAACAAATACATATACCCTAAAACACACTAAGCTTAAACATCTACAGAGCACACAACAATCTTTAATGTACAGCACAATATAACAGACGTCAATTTGCCTCAAAAGTCGTGTGTACTCCCATCCAAAACAAAGAACGTGATGTCTTTACAAATCAACTCTCACTTCTATATGGTTCGCATGTATAGTACACATTGCAGCATAGGCTATACTGTGTCACTTTGGTCTAACATGTTGCAATCTCAAGGTCGAACTATCACATGTCTACTGTCATCACAGCCACATTATAAATGTCACATCATCACAGCCGCTTCATCACAGCCATATCATCACAGCCATTTTATAAATGTCACATCATCGCAGCCATATTATAAATGTCACATTATCAAATCCCTATTATAAATGTCACATCATCACAGCCATATTATGAATGTCACATCATCACAGCCTTATTATAAATGTCACATCATCACAGCCACATCATCACAGTAACATCATCACAGACATATTATAAATGTCACATCATCACAGCCATATTATGAATGTCACATCATCACAGCCATATTATAAATGTCATATCATCACAGCCATATTATAAATGTCACATCATCACAGCCACATCATCACAGACATATTATAAATGTCACATCTTCACAGAGATATTATGAATGTCACATCATTACAGCCATATTATAAATGTCACATCATCACAGCCACATCATCACAGCCACATCATCATAGCCACATCATCACAGCCACATCATCACAGCCACATCATCACAGCCATATCATAACAAGCCATATTATGAATGTCACATCATCACAGCCACATCATCACAGCCACATCATCACAGCCATATCATAACAGCCATATTATAAATGTCACATCATCACAGCCGCATCATCACAGCCACATCATCACAGCCATATCATCACAGCCACATCATCACAGCCACATCATCACAGCCAAATCATCACAGCCATATCATAACAGCCATATTATAAATGTCACATCATCACAGCCACATCATCACAGCCACATCATCACAGCCACATCATCACAGCCAAATCATCACAGCCATATTATGAATGTCACATCATCACAGCCATAAGATCGCAGCCATATAATAAATGTCACATTATCACAGCCATATCATCGCAGCCATATTATAAATGTCACATCATCAAAGCCACATCATCACAACCATATTATGAATGTCACATCATCACAGCCATATAATAAATGTCACATCATCACAGCCATATCATCGAAGCCATATTATAAATGTCACATCATCACAGCCACATCATCACAGCCATATTATAAATGTCACATCATCACAGCCACATCATCACAGCCATATCATCACAGTCACATCATCACAGCCATATTATTAATGTCACATCATCACAGCCATATCATCAAAGTCACATCATCACAGCCATATTATTAATATCACATCATCACAGCCATATCATCGAATTCACATCATCACAGCCATATAATCACAGCCATATTATGAATGTCACACCATCACAGCCATATTATAAATGTCACATCATCACAGCCACATCATCACAGCCATATCATCTCAGTCACATCATCACAGCCATATCATCACAGTCACATCATCAACACAGCCACATTACCAATAAAACCATGTCATCAATGCAACATCGACAACACAGCCACGTCATCACTCTTACATCAACACAGCTACATCAGATACTATCACTCAACTATAACCACGGGGTTGCGTGGTCTTGAAGCATAGTGTTTGCCTCTAATGCTAGAGGTTCCGGATTCAGGCTGCAGTGAAGGTTGTATTTGTTCAACTATAACATATTGATTTCCAACAATCAACTATAACATATTGACTTCCAACAATCAACTATAACATATTGATTTCCAACAATCAACTATAACATATTAATTTCCCCTGGTCTCTGGGTTATGAGATCAGGCGCCAGTGTGTTTTGTTGCCCACGTAAAAAATCCTAGGCAGTTGGAAATCGAAAAAAGTAGCCTACCTGCGCTGCCCGAGCAAAATTTGGAGTTAAAAATATACCCTAAATATTTTAGAATCATCGCCAGTGCTACAGAGCCCATACACTGCACTGAGCTACTTCAGACTCAGACTTGAGTTAGATGTAGAACGGAGCACTTGTGAGTTATTACTTTTGTGCCATGATGTTGATCTGCTGTTCAAACCTCAAACCTCAAAGTGACTGACTCTCAACACTGAACTATGACACAGTTACTAACTCTGGTCACTCAGTTAAAACACTGACTTAAAACATGGTTACTGACTTTATTCAACCAGTTGTAACACAGACACTGACTTCCATCAACTAACTTTAAAACAGAGATTGACTCCCATCAAACAACTCTAACGCACAAACTAACCCCGATCACCCAACTGTGACATGCAAACTGACTCCCATCAACCTACTGTAACACACTGACTTCCATCACCCAACTATAACATATTGATTTCCAACAACCAACTATAACATATTGACTCCCATCAACCAACCATAACATACTGACTTCAATAAACCAACAATAACATACTGACTTCCATCACTCAACTATAACATATTGACTTCCATCAACCAACTATAACATACTGACTTCCATCACCCAACTATAACATACTGACTTCCATCAATCAACTATAACATACTGACTTCCATCAACCAACTATAACATACTGACTTCCATCACCCAACTATAACATACTGACTTCCATCAACCAACTATAACATACTGACACCCATCAACCAACTATAACATACTGACTTCCATCACCCAAACTATAACACAAAGACTGACTCCCATCACTTAAACTATAACACAAAGACTGACTCCCATCACTTAAACTATAACACAAAGACTGACTCCCTTCACCCAAACTATAACACAAAGACTGACTCCCATCACCCAAACTATAACACAAAGACTGACTCCCTTCACCCAAACTATAACACAAAGACTGACTCCCTTCACCCAAACTATAACACAAAGACTGACTCCCTTCACCCAAACTATAACACAAAGACTGACTCCCTTCACCCAAACTATAACACAAACAGACTGACTCCCATCACCCAAAATATAACACAAAGACTGACTCCCATACCCAAACTATAACACAAAGACTGACTCCCTTCACCCAAACTATAACACAAAGACTGACTCCCTTCACCCAAACTATAACACAAAGACTGACTCCCTTCACCCAAACTATAACACAAAGACTAACTCTTATCACCCAAACTATAACACAAAGACTGACTCCCATCACCCAAACTATAACACAAAGACTGACTCCCTTCACCCAACTATAACACAAACGACTGACTCCCTCACCCAAACTATAACACAAAGACTGACTCCATTCACCCAAACTATAACACAACAAAGACTGACTCCATCACCCAAACTATAACACAAAGACTGACTCCCTTCACCCAAACTATAACACACAAGAATGACTCTTATCACCCAAACTATAACACAAAGACTGACTCCCATCACCAACTAAACATATAACACAAAGACATGACTCCCATCACCCAAACTATAACACAAAGACTGACTCCCATCACCCAAACTATAACACAAAGACTGACTCTTATCACCCAAACTATAACACAAAGACTGACTCCCATCACCTAAACTATAACACAAAGACTGACTCCCATCACCCAAACTATAACACAAAGACTGACTCCCATCACCCAAACTATAACACAAAGACTGACTCTTATCACCCAAACTATAACACAAAGACTGACTCCCATCACCTAAACTATAACACAAAGACTGACTCCCATCACCTAAACTATAACACAAAGACTGACTCCCATCACCTAAACTATAACACAAAGACTGACTCCCATCACCTAAACTATAACACAAAGACTGATTGGCATCACCCAAACTATAACACAAAGACTGACTCTCTTTACCCAAACTATAACACAAAGACTGACTCCCTTCACCCTGCTTGAACCTATCACACAGAGAGCCACGTGTGCCCGGACGGTCGTGTCCGGTGCAGCAGCGGTCACTGTATCCCATCCTCGTGGTGGTGCAACCACTGGCCCAACTGCCCGGATAAATCAGACGAGAAAGATTGTAGTAAGTTCCTTCCGTTGGTTTCTTTTCTATAATCTATATCTATAAAATAAGTCTTCTGGCGTTGTTGACGGAGCTGTGATGTCATCAATGTCTATGTTTAGTGAGATCTCTGTCTATGTTTGACGTAATCTTTGTATTTATATCTCTAATGTCAGTTCTGCAAATTTCTTATTGCGCCCTCGTCTAGTGATTTAGTACTCAAAACAAGACTCTTAAACTTGTCCGCAACTCTTAACCATAATCCAACTGGATGGATATATGATGCACTGATGGATCATTGGAGGGAGCATAAACAAACGTTGTGGTCAGTTTGGTCACCGTGTTGCAACATGGGACCACAGTGGAAAAGTCACGTGTCTCTGAAAACAGTCTTCAAAGCAGAGCAGCAAGTTTTTATTGATGCAACAAATGCTTGAAGAAAGAAAAATATCAGTCAACATAATTGCTTTCTTGTGTGACTGTATGTCAGTCCTTCTGGTGCCTCAAAGTTTCACGAGACAAAAGGAAAGAGAACTGACCTGCCAGCTAAACAAACTCAGAAAACAATCAGTTTGTTTTCCAGTGGTTCTAGGTTCACTGCGGCCTACCAAGAAACGAGTTGGCGGACACGCCTGCATAAAAATTGAACAAATTAGAAACAACAAAATCAGTCTTTGTCATTACCAGGAACTCATCAAACGGAAATACACATAAATGTGGAGAGAACAAACTAACAGTGAACATCCACTAGAAGCCACCAGTAGACTGCACAGAAAACAATATACAACATTTCTCCGTCTGAGAACGGCAGACTCAGTTCCCCACAATGTGCTGGCCAGAAGAGCCCAAATATCCCCTGAGCACATTCTGCAGACCTGCCTACTCTACTTACAAGTGCGGAGAGAAACCTGGATTTAAGAACCAAGTGTGCAGGGCAAGCTGCGGGGAACCTTGATAAGTCTCAAACTGACATGCGAATTCAAAGAGGCAGCCACCTGAGCATACAGCATCGAACGGCAAGAAGGAGAAGCAGAAAAAAGACATACACAAACTTGCAAGTGAACATTTATACATGACTGAGGGATGGGCAACCTAGCTCCTACAATGTGCGTGTGTGTGTGGGTGTGTGTGTGCGCGCGCGTGTGTGTGTGTGTGTGTGTGTGTGTGTGTCCGGGTGCTGGGATGGAGAAAGGGCTGAACAAGTATGGGAGGAGAAGGAGAGTGTATGAGGTCCATGACCCCCGATCTCTGTGTCTGATAGACTTGTGTCTGTTACAGATGTATTCACACATGACCCCCGATCTCTGTGTCTGATAGACTTATGTCTGTTACAGATGTATTCACACATGACCCCCGATCTCTGTGTCTGATAGACTTGTGTCTGTTACAGATGTATTCACACATGACCCCCGATCTCTGTGTCTGATAGACTTGTGTCTGTTACAGATGTATTCACACATGACCCCCGATCTCTGTGTCTGATAGACTTGTGTCTGTTACAGATGTATTCACACATGACCCCCGATCTCTGTGTCTGATAGACTTGTGTCTCTTACAGATGTATTCACACATGACCCCCGATCTCTGTGTCTGATAGACTTGTGTCTGTTACAGATGTATTCACACATGACCCTGGTGATGGGACTCTGGGCACATAGTTGTTGTATGTGTGTCTGTGTATGTATGTGTGTGTGTCTTTGTTTGTGTATATGGGAGGCGGGGGGGGGGGGAGAGATGGGATGCCCTAATGGACCTATCAGCAACATGTCTTTCCTCTCGTCCCCCAGGCTACCGCCAATGCCGCCAGGACGAGTTCACCTGTTCCAACGGAGAGTGCGTGCCCTTGTCAGTCGTCTGCTATCAGGGTCAAAGAGCAGAGTTCCAAGGTTGCCAGGACCGGTCGCATCTGGTGTACTGTGGTAAGATGCCTGTCCTGTCATTGTCCTGTCCTGTCTTTGTCCTGTCCTGTCCTGTCTTTGTCCTTGTCCTGTCCTTGTCCTGTCCTTGTCCTGTCCTTGTCCTGTCCTGTCATTGTCCTTGTCCTGTCATTGTCCTGTCCTGTCATTGTCCTTGTCCTGTCCTTGTCCTGTTATGTCATTGTCCTTGTCCTGTCCTGTCATTGTCATTGACCTGTCCTTGTCCTGTCATTGTCCTGTCCTTGTCCTGTCCTGTCTTTGTCCTTGTCCTGTCCTTGTCATGTCCTTGTCCTGTCCTGTCATTGTCCTTGTCCTGTCCTGTCATTGTCCTGCCCTGTCATGTCATTGTCCTTGTCCTGTCATTGTCATTGTCCTGTCCTTGTCCTGTCATTGTCCTGTCCTTGTCCTGTCCTGTCATTGTCCTTGTCCTGTCCTGTCTTTGTCCTTGTCCTGTCCTGTCCTTGTCCTGTCCTTGTCCTGTCATTGTCCTTGTCCTGTCCTTGTCCTGTCATTGTCCTTGTCCTGTCCTGCCATTGTCCTTGTCCTGTCCTTGTCCTGTCCTTGCCCTGTCCTGTCTTTGTCCTGTCGTGTCATTGTCTTTGTCCTGTCATTGTCCTGTCCTGTCATTGTCCTTGTCCTGTCATTGTCCTGTCCTGTCATTGTCCTGTCTTTGTCCTGTCCTGTCATTGTCCTGTCCTGTCATTGTCCTTGTCCTGTCTTTGTCCTGTCCTGTCTTGTCCTTGTCCTGTCCTGTCTTTGTCCTTCCCCTGTCCTGTCACTTGTCCTGTCACCTGTTAGAGTTACCTGTTGCTAGGACAGCCGGCTAGCCTCAAAGCATGTCACATAAATCTATACGGCACATGGTGCTGAAAAATATCTTTTATGTAGAGGAATTCACTATTCATAGACTGTGGCTGGAAAACTCAACAAGGGGAAATATAATACGCACAAATACAGGGCAACGTTTGCAGCAGAGTCTTTATTAACGAATTTACCAATCAGGTGAAGAATCCTACGCTCCTGTCCCAAGTCTTGTGTTGTAGAAGACAAAACTTTTCTTCACTAGGTCAGATATTCTCCTTTATTTCCCAGGTCACATTAAGGTTAGGTGAGGTCAGTCTCCCCGGCGATCTTGTGATCGGCAGGCGAGCATTTACGTCCTGCACCAACACAGCTGCACAAACATGTCACATAGATGAACAAACGCTGGCGAGCAGTCAGCATTGTCTACTGGTGTGCTCCCGCTTTTTTCCTATCAGTCCTGCAGAGGTCACTACTTGCCATGTAAAACATTGCTCTCATCATGGTCTGCCTGAAAGTCTTTCGCCGGCTCTGCCGCCTCGTACACTTTTATACCCAAAGATTCACTTATATCTTGCGCCCATCTTTGTGCTAGTCGGTTCCTGCCCCTCCTTCCTGGTACCATGCCTTTTGCTATTACCCTCCTTCCCTATCTCAACACCGCCATGAAGCTTCATACACCCAGAAGATTTCAGATTCCGAGACTGTGTTGTTATTTCTCGTCCAGAAAACACGGTCTGTGTCTCATCTAGCAAACCACGGTCTGTGTCTCATCTAGCAAACCACGGTCTGTGTCTCATCTAGCAAACCACGGTCTGTGTCTCATCTAGCCCACTGTCTTTGTCGCATGAAGCAAACATTGTCTATGTCTCATCTAGCAAACATTGTCTATGTCTCATCTAGCAAACACTGTCTATGTCTCATCTAGCAAACACTGTCTATGTCTCATCTAGCCCACTGTCTTTGTCGCATGAAGCAAACATTGTCTATGTCTCATCTAGCAAACATTGTCTATGTCTCATCTAGCAAACATTGTCTATGTCTCATCTAGCAAACACTGTCTATGTCTCATAAAGCAAACACTGTCTATGTCTAATCCAGAAATCCCTGTCTATGTCACAAATAGGTTGAAATGGGCCACCTGTGTCTAGTAGGACAACCTCGTTGGTTTTTCTATATTATTATTTTGTGAATATTTGCTTGTTGTCACCAGGCCTCGCACAGATCCACTGATAGTAAATAATCTTTAAATTGACTGCAATTGCATGAGGCTCAATGTTTCTTTCGCCGTGACGATGCTTCTTCTATTCTCTGCAAGGCATTTTGTGTCAGATGTTGCAACTGTTTCAAGATAGTTGTATCTGGTGTTAGATGTTGCAACTGTTTCAAGATAGTTGTATCTGGTGTTAGATGTTGCAACTGTTTCAAGATAGTTGTATCTGGTGTTAGATGTTGCAACTGTTTCAAGATAGTTGTATCGGATGTTAGATGTTGCAACTGTTTCAAGATAGTTATATCGGGTGTTAGATGTTGTAACTGTTTCAAGATAGTTGTATCTGGTGTTAGATGTTGTAACTGTTTCAAGATAGTTGTATCTGGTGTTAGATGTTGTAACTTTTTTAATATAGTTGTATCTGGTGTTAGATGTTGTAACTGTTCTAAGATAGTTGTATCTGGTGTCAGATGAGTGGAGAATGAGATCGTTGATCACATTTACTGTCTGAGAGAGTATGAGATCGTTGATCACATTTACTGTCTGAGAGGGAATGAGACCGTTGATCACATTTACTGTCTGAGAGAGAATGAGATCGTTGATCACAATTACTGTCTGAGAGGGAATGAGATCGTTGATCACATTTACTGTCTGAGAGAGAATGAGATCGTTTATCACATTTACTGTCTGAGAGAGAATGAGATCGTTGATCACATGTACTGTCTGAGAGAGAATGAGATCGTTGATCACATGTACTGTCTGAGAGATAATGAGATCGTCGATCACGTTTACTGCCAGAGAGAGAATGAGATCGTTGAAAAGCACAGATCCACTGATAGTAAATAATCTTTAAATTGACTGCAATTGCATGAGGCTCAATGTTTCTTTCGCCGTGACGATGCTTCTTCTATTCTCTGCAAGGCATTTTGTGTCAGATGTTGCAACTGTTTCAAGATAGTTGTATCTGGTGTTAGATGTTGCAACTGTTTCAAGATAGTTGTATCTGGTGTTAGATGTTGTAACTGTTTCAAGATAGTTGTATCTGGTGTTAGATGTTGCAACTGTTTCAAGATGGTTGTATCTGGTGTTAGATGTTGCAACTGTTTCAAGATAGTTGTATCTGGTGTTAGATGTTGCAACTGTTTCAAGATAGTTGTATCTGGTGTTAGATGTTGCAACTGTTTCAAGATAGTTGTATCGGATGTTAGATGTTGCAACTGTTTCAAGATAGTTATATCGGGTGTTAGATGTTGTAACTGTTTCAAGATAGTTGTATCTGGTGTTAGATGTTGTAACTGTTTCAAGATAGTTGTATCTGGTGTTAGATGTTGTAACTTTTTTAAGATAGTTGTATCTGGTGTTAGATGTTGTAACTGTTCTAAGATAGTTGTATCTGGTGTCAGATGAGTGGAGAATGAGATCGTTGATCACATTTACTGTCTGAGAGAGAATGAGATCGTTGATCACATTTACTGTCTGAGAGGGAATGAGACCGTTGATCACATTTACTGTCTGAGAGAGAATGAGATCGTTGATCACAATTACTGTCTGAGAGGGAATGAGATCGTTGATCACATTTACTGTCTGAGAGAGAATGAGATCGTTTATCACATTTACTGTCTGAGAGAGAATGAGATCGTTGATCACATGTACTGTCTGAGAGAGAATGAGATCGTTGATCACATGTACTGTCTGAGAGAGAATGAGATCGTCGATCACATTTACTGCCAGAGAGAGAATGAGATCGTTGATCACATTTACTGTCTGAGAAAGAATAAAATCGTTGATCACATTTACTGTCTGAGAGAGAATGAGATCGTTGATCACATTTACTGTCTGAGAGGGAATGAGATCGTTGATCACATTTACTGTCTGAGAGAGAATAAGATCGTTTATCACATTTACTGTCTGAGAGAGAATGAGATCGTTGATCACATGTACTGTCTGAGAGAGAATGAGATCGTTGATCACATGTACTGTCTGAGAGAGAATGAGATCGTTGATCACATTTACTGCCAGAGAGAGAATGAGGTCGTTGATCACATTTACTGTCTGAGAAAGAATGAAATCGTTGATCACATTTACTGTCTGAGAGAGAATGAGATCGTTGATCACATTTACTGTCTGAGAGAGAATGAGATCGTTGATCACATTTACTGTCTGAGAGGGAATGAGATCGTTGATCACATTTACTGTCTGAGAGAGAATGAGATCGTTGATCACATTTACTGTCTGAGAGAGAATGAGATCGTTGATCACATGTACTGTCTGAGAGAGAATGAGATCGTTGATCACATGTACTGTCTGAGAGAGAATGAGATCGTTGATCACATTTACTGCCAGAGAGAGAATGAGATCGTTGATCACATTTACTGTCTAAGAAAGAATGAAATCGTTGATCACATTTACTGTCTGAGAGAGAATGAGATCGTTGATCACATTTACTGTCTGAGAGAGAATGAGATCGTTGATCACATTTACTGTCTGAGAGAGAATGAGATCTTTGATCACATTTACTGTCTGAGAGAGAATGAGATCGTTGATCACATGTACTGTCTGAGAGAGAATGAGATCGTTGATCACATTTACTGTCTGAGAGAGAATGAGATCGTTGATCACATTTACTGTCTGAACGAACGAACGAACGAACGAACAAACTTTTTTTTCAAAGGGTTACTAATTGGGCACGCAGGCCCGTCTGACATTCGGCCCTTTTAAGCACTCGTTTTTCAGAGTACCACTGCCTGTTATCTAAAATGCATGTTATGGATATAGAATAAAATCATACATTATAGAATATAATACATACATCATGTGTACACAGTCTTACACACTTTCCCATTCTCATACATGCACACTCATATACCGACATACCTAGCACATACATACATACATACATACATACATACATACATACATACATACATACATACATACATACATACATACATACATACATACATACATACATACATACATACATACATACATACATACATACATACATACATACATACATACATACATACATACATACATACATACATACATACATACATACATACATACATACATACATACATACATACATACATACATACATACATACATACATACATACATACATACATACATACATACATACATACATACATACATACATACATACATACATACATACATACATACATACATACATACATACATACATACATACATACATACATACATACATACATACATACATACATACATACATACATACATACATACATACATACATGCATGCATGCATGCATGCATGCATGCATACATACATACATACATACATACATACAGACAGACAGACAGACAGACAGACAGACAGACAGACAGACAGACAGACAGACAGACAGACAGACAGACAGACAGACAGACAGACAGACAGACAGACAGACAGACAGACAGACAGACAGACAGACAGACAGACAGACAGACAGACAGACAGACAGACAGACAGACAGACAGACAGACAGACAGACAGACAGACAGACAGACAGACAGACAGACAGACAGACAGACAGACAGACAGACAGACAGACAGACAGACAGACAGACAGACAGACAGACAGACAGACAGACAGACAGACAGACAGACAGACAGACAGACAGACAGACAGACAGACAGACAGACAGACAGACAGACAGACAGACAGACAGACAGACAGACAGACAGACAGACAGACAGACAGACAGACAGACAGACAGACAGACAGACAGACAGACAGACAGACAGACAGACAGACAGACAGACAGACAGACAGACAGACAGACAGACAGACAGACAGACAGACAGACAGACAGACAGACAGACAGACAGACAGACAGACAGACAGACAGACAGACAGACAGACAGACAGACAGACAGACAGACAGACAGACA